TTCGTGTCTTTGAAGCAAAATTTCACAAGTGTTTTTTCGGTTTTCCATCTGTCTTTCATTCAATACATGTGGCACCCATTTTCCACACTTTTAGATCTTTCCCATAGCTTTTAAACGGTCAGAAATTGTTTGTTGTGCAACATTTAACATTTCTGCCATTTGCTTTTGACCCAAAGTGTCATCTCCATCCAATATCGTTTGCAATTCGGCGTCTTCAAACTTTTTTGACGGTCTTCCACGTTCTTCATTTCTCACATCAAAATCATTATTTCTGAACCGTTGAAACCATCTTTTGCATGTTGATTCTGATAGAGCATGATCACTATATGCCTCGACAAGCATTCGATGCGACTCTGCACCACTTTTCTTCAAATGAAAACCAAAAATTAATGCTTTCCGCAAATCATCACTTTCTGGTACAAAATTCGACATTTTTAACACGATGAAAAATTATGATGTTGTCTGTTCAATGATTTGATGTATACTAAATATATTTCACACTTGTCATAGCAAACAAACCAAAAAAAATAAAGGCTCGTTCACAACAAATGTTCCCTGTCGGAACATTTGTATCTTTACGCTCACTTCATACCGGTACACCTAATAAGTCTGGTTAAATTAAATTGGCATCACTTTTAAAAAAACTTAAATGCTTTCTTTGACATATATTTTTTATTGTGTTGTGTACAATATGAAATATAAAAATTGTAAACACTAAAAATTAATTTATGTAAAAGAAAACAAAATAAATAAATATTTAAATTAATTAATTTATTTATGTATTTGTATTTATTAGTAAAGGAAATCCTCATATGATTTTAACGGATAAGTGAAATTTTACAATGTGTTTCTTTCATTCACAATAGACTGATTTTTGAATTTGGCAGCACTGAAACTTAAGACTTAAAATTGTTTGCGAGTAAAACCTAACTCTGAAGGTTTTAAGAGTATTGTTATTGCTTCACATATTTTGTTTCATAAGTTGCGAGTATATTTTTGGCTACTCTGAAAGAAAAAATTACTGCTTTTATATGTATACAAAAGAACAAAAAACATATGTCAAGAAAAGGATTTGACATAATTCAAAAGTAATATCAATTTATTTCAACCCGTCTTAATATTGTTTTTTTACAACTCTGAAAGAAAAAATTACGGTTATATTTGTTTCTCATTTAAAATTTAGGTATACATTAAGACCGAAAAGTTTTCGGAAATTCTCATTTAAAATTCGCGCGCTGTATATTTTTCGATATTTTAAGTTTATGTAGTTTGGCAGCACTGTCCTTAATTACTATGCCAAAAATGAGCGCGATCTGTCAGACAGTTCGTTTACGGCAGCTGTTGAAACCAGTTCACCTCAGTAGGGCGTTGCGAAAAAAACAATGGAAAAAAATATTGAACAAAGAGTTTGCATCAAATTTTGTGTTTCGAACGAAATTTCGTGTGCAGAATCGTTGCGAATGCTACAAAAGGCTTATGGGGAATCAGTTTTATCGAAAACTCAAGTTTATGAGTGGTACAAAGCCTTCCAGGACGGTCGTACGACCGTCGAAGACATTTCGCAACGCACTACTGAGGTGAACTGGTTTCAACAGCTGCCGTAAACGAACTGTCTGACAGATCGAGCTCATTTTTGGCATAGTAATTAAGGACAGTGCTGCCAAACTACATAAACTTAAAATATCGAAAAATATACAGCGCGCGAATTTTAAATGAGAATTTCCGAAAACTTTTCAGTCTTAATGTACACTATAGAACAAAGTATTTATAATAAAAATGATGCCATTCGGTTATGATTAAAAATTTAATTATCTTACAAATTGATACTTTACATTCATCTTATTCTATAATGTATGTACTGCCGTCCACAGCAAAAGGTCCCTTAAATTTAATACCTAGCCTAATATGCGCGCTATCAAAAGACTTATGGCAGCTCTTAGGACTATTATATATTATATTATATATACATATTATTATATACTAAATTGTATGTTTTTATTATATAAATGAGACGTGAATATAAATTCAAAATTGTGTGCGAAAAGTATTTGTGAGCTCCGGCAAAGCCAAAGCTAACGTCTTTCCTTGTTTTTATATGTAAGAGATATATATCAAATGTTAGATCCGCAGTGGAAGCAATAAAATAAGTTCTGCAAATTAAATTACGAGTATTTGCTAACTTTTCAGGTTTTTGGTCTTTAATTTGCTTTTATTTACTTCATAAATATTTCTCAAACACAACTTTACGTGACAAGGTAGATTTTTATAGTATTAACAAAGCTAATATACATATAATATTCCTAAAGATATTACATATAATTGAGTTACTAATTTCGCTTGATTGCTTCATATACAGATAAAAATTTCATTTCAATTTCAATGCAATTCAATTCTGAGAGAAATATTGGTTCTAATTTTAGATGGAGACTTGTACAGAAGTCCATAGTTATTTAACGTGATTACCTGCCATGAAGACTAAACACCACGATGTTCCTAACACACATAACGGTATAATTAGTAGATAATCGTTCAATTTGAACTCCAAGAAATTCCACTAATACCAATTTAAACTATACGTTTAGATATAGTTCTCTCCTCGGGAAGGAGCGAAGCCTATCCACCATCTCTGCTGCTCTTTTGGTCACAGCATCCGGTTAGGAAATGCAAATCCACATCGAATGAGAGTACATGAATACAATCATCCCACCAGCGTATATTATGGTTTTAACCTTAGCCGTCACAATACTCCCTTTAAGGCGCCAACCTCTATTGATCAGGATAGCTGAAGCTGTGGACCCTGACTTTCGTGTACCATATTTGCACTTCCGGTTGGGTTCCACAAGAGAAAACTCGCTTACTACCACTAGTACTCCCAACAGTATCAAGATAATGAGCTTAATCAGACTGAACAATCGAACAGACAACAAACAAACCAGGAGAAACACATTAAAAATAAGAGACAACTTAAGATGCCCAAACTGTTTGATCACTTCATTCACTCTGTCACAGTCCAACATACTCATTCATACACATCACTGCAATTGAGCTATCAGTGCACGTCAACTATGAAAAACAGCACGTGCGAACTAGTCAATTCTCACCAAACTTGACTGCGCCTGCTGCACAGCACTGACATCATTCACATTACCTATATATACATAACCTATATATACATGTATACCACCAATTCACAAAAGAGATGCATCCACCTGTCTGATTAATGATCACAAACACAATTGAAATCCTTTAATGCAAAATCGCAGTGAAAGACCTATGTCCCGTTGGAATATTACCAAGATTCAAGCCGAAACCGTTACCTGGTCTCTCTTGAACACATCCGACATCCCGAATGTATTCGTAACTCATCCTTGGAGACTTCTAAAGAAGACGATACAATTGGAGTTTTAAGAACTAGTGAACAACAAAGCAGTTGTGAGTTTTGGAATAAAAAAAAAACCATACAAGTGCAGATATACTTATCCGGATCAAGTGGTTCACCAAAAAACTAGTTTAAAACAACTTAAAATACTGAACACAAAATACAGAATCAGTCAATATGAAGAGCAAATATAAAGGAACCTTTGACCCACAAAGAGTTTTGGCAACTTGTAGGTTTATTTTGGAAAATGATTGACTGAAATATCAATAGAATAATGTTCCTTTATGTAAAAACTAATCATTACTGGCCAACGGAAATGTTATCAAATAATTACTTAAGTATAGGAATCAATGCTTATACCATATTATCGGATAGCCAAGCTACAATTCTAACTTTGAATTCAAGTATTATAACAATCTACTTAGTGTAACATAACAAAGAGAGATTATTCTCCCTAAACAAATGGTGAACTAGCGACGAATGGATCTGTCATGCGAGAAATTATTGCAGAATTAGTGCTCACAACTGTATGAGATTAAATGGGCCATTAATACCATATATACTTATAGCGGATTTAAAATGAAGAAATCTCTGCAAAAGCGCATTGTAGATAGGTTATTATTTCAAGTTAGCATTATTACTAATAGACCAAATTAAAAGAACTGACAGCAATATTCTTAGGGATATTCTGAACTAACAGTAATAATTACTAGCTTCCGACCTATTGAAGAACAGGCGCAAAAGTGGTACCTCTCACAATATTCGCTGTTACAGAATCAATCAGACTGGAGAAAAGGAAGATATTTCCCATTGCCTTGCTTTTTAAAGGCAGAGACTAGCTGCCTTAAATAACTCATTCTTTAAAAATTTTGGAAAGCTCGCGAAAGTTGTTAACGAGCTTTAGAGGTTTCTGCACTACGTGAAATAGATATTACTTTACTATCTACACAAACAATTGAGTAATTTGCTGGTAACTACAATATGGTAACTATTCAACCCTATACCCTTATACACTTTCAGGATTTCTTTCAGACAATTTTTTTCAATGACTTGCATATTTCAATTCACAAAATTATTGCTTGAAAGCCCTTTTAGCTGTAGTTCACATCCACCATTATACCTTGAGCTAATATTACCAACATTTTCTCTTATAAGGCCCAGAAATCAATTTAATATTTTTTTTCTAAAAGTATACATCTTGTTAGAATTGGCTTCTTAAATGCTCCGGTGGCGTACAGAAAGACGGACATAGGAAGAGGAGTATTTTTGATTTTTTTTCTCAACATCGTGTCATCTATATGCTTGGTTGGTTGCGAGTATTACTTTTATGGACTTGTAACTATTAGTGTTGTGATACAAGTATGATAAAATAACAATCTCCTCTAAAACTCTTCATCTTTGTTACAAAAATAGTAACGAGAAAATGTCGGAAAAGAAATTTTCTGATATAAATACCTGAGATTATACGAGTTCACTATAAAAAAAATTGTGTAAATAAGACCTTGCATATGAACTTATTTATTTAATAAATATTATTTTTTTCAATTTTCTTTGAATTTAACTTTAAATTTTTTTTTTTAATTGTTTACAATATAAAATAAAATTCAAATAATTTGTTATAATAAATTTTCTAACAAAATATCACAAAAAAATTTTGCTGTGCACCAACTAATATTATAATTTTATATCAAAATGATGTACATACCACGTCGACCAATTAGGTGCAAGGAAGGCACGGTTCCTCTTCCTCCAATTCCCTCATATAGACCGAAAAAACCGCTTGTGAGGATCAACATCTTAGAGGAACTTGAGAATAACAAAATGCCAATTATCGAAAAAATACTTGAACGTCCATGCGGTGATTATTCTAGACGAAACCTAAAACTGTATTATGGGTCCATAGATGATGTTTTTAATGAGGAGATCCTAAAATCTCATTTTACACATTTTCGTGAGAACTATTATGAGAAATTGTACTCCCGCCGACCTGATGTTGCAGAAACAAGGGTATTAGATGCTAAACCGGAGCATATTAACAATTATACTACAACATTTGGCAAACCAAGCACAATCGAAAATGCTAAAGATATTATACAACCCAACGAGGAATACAAAGATATCAATATAAGATATCATTCTGGTCATCGTGATTATTTAATAAGTCATCAAAAATATTTTCCATCTGAGCAGGTTAACAGACAGTTAGTATAAAAATATTGAAGTCTAATTAAAAAGACTGTTCTTATACGTTTCCTCTATTTTTCAAATAGCTATACAAAACCATTTAACCCAAAGGCCATATTTGGAGATGCCACAAATGTAAATAAAGATGGTTTTTTAGTTAAAGAGTGTTTAACTGATAAGAGTGTTCCCTTTCCGACTTCTAAATATTCATTATATCGTAGTAAACGAGAGAATCCTTTTGTGGGAAAGCCAAGAAGAGGGTAAGCTTAAGAGGAAATTTCAGGACTCAGAATTTTCTACAATTTTATTAATGACTGAAATTCGAAAAAAACACTAATTATTATAGATTCATACGTTTAGGGTTTCACAATCGAATTGCATATTACTATTCATTTATTATTTATTTGCAGTTTTGCTCCTTTAAATCGAATTTATGGCATAAAGACAGATTTCCGTGAAAGTACAGTTAAAAGCATATTAGAAGAAACGGATCCATCTGGCAAAGACCTCGAGTTAAGCTATGCAGTCCAACACGTACACTCCATACGACGTTTCATATTCAACAAGCCTCATGTGACTGTTATAGACATTAAACAAGCAGTTTTAGAAAATACCAATGAGGAGGATTATTACATTCCATTGGATGTGTTGATTTCCATAACGAAAAGATTTCGGATACCGATTTGCCGAATTAAGACAGGAATGGCACTTAGTCATTTCGGTTATGTACAAGTTCGAGATGGCGTAGATTACGTATTCTTATTTGATTACATTAATTTCATCAATGCAAAACAAAATTTTCCAACACATCGACCAGTAGCAGTTATGACACCAAATCAACATCACGTAGACACCGAATATCGAGACTTATGTAAAGGTTTGAATGAGCCAATAAAAGAAATTAAAACCGCAACAAAGCGCCATAAAGTTGGTGATGATCATGTAGATACTGTGAAAGAGCTTATAAATCGAACTCCGTTTTCAAGAGTGGGCCTAACACCAGAAATATTTACAAGACTAAGACCAAAACCTGAATTGGAAAATCTTTTTAATAATGTTATAGCTCAGGAAGTATTTGAGGAAATGTGGGGATTGTGCATAGAGAGGTTTAAACAAAAAGATAAGCTGGTATCGATAGGGCAAGTATATGATATGAAGAAAAACACAGAGTATGAAAGAAGCCTTGCTGCTATTGGCAAATCTTTATTCTAAATTCAAATCATATTTGCATTTACGATATTTGGATATTTCTAGACCATGGGCACAGCTTAAATTAAAAAAAAATTATATTAATAAAATGATGAAATATTGAAATTGCTTCCAGTTTTTCTCTTTGAATTTATGTAAGATCGACTCATCATAAAATTTTAAATATTTTATGCTCTATTATAGAGAATATAGACTAATACATATAAAGGTATATATATTATTTAATATTTATGTAATAGTTTATTTGGTCTCAGCTTAGAATATTCGTGTATATTACTTCTATTGTCAATTCCTGTGAATTGGAATCTTTTAAATTCTACCAATCATTTTGTTTTCTTTTTGTCATGAAAAGAAATTTTTAAATCCAAAAAATATAATTTTATTTGAAATGGATTTATTGTCATAGAACCTTGCAATCAACCTGGGTTTTGACCAAAGTTGATGTGTGCGTTGAGACATGAAACAGATGGGTGACATCATGGGATGTAGAGCTGCAGTTAGACCACTCATTGGGTATTGACTACTAACTGTTCAGCATATGGCTATATTTTGTCCTCAATTGGGCTAAAGTGGTGCTTATTGCACGAGGAAGGCGTCGTATCTTGCAGATGGTGTTAGACGATACAGAAATAGTATGAATGAAGGTACGATTGAATATGATTTCTTGTAGTTTTAAGATTTAGATATGAAATTCGTCATTTTCAGTGAAGAGTGAAAATTTTATAAGGCCCTAAAGTACGTCTAGAGTAATTAGCATTGTCAAAGTTAATCAAATCTCAAGTATTCAAACGGTGTGTTAAGGCTTCAAGTATTTTTAAAGCCACTAATATTCTACTGCATATACGAACTAAAAGAATTAAACGAGAAACAGGTGTCATCTTTGAGTCAAGAAATAATGTTTTATTTAAGTGTGAAGTGCATATTACACATCAAAATTTTTTGTCAAATATTTTTGTTATTGCTGGCTATCACACATCAACACAGTCGACATTATTTTGAAAACACCCCCAGCATAAAATGCAATCATTTTTCACTCATCAGTATAAAAAAATCAAAATTTTTTGATTTCCATCAAAACTTTTTGTCAAACTTCAAATGTTGCTATTACACATCAAATTTGGCACAAATTTTGGATTTCACAAAAAAGTTTGACAAGAAATTCTCATGTGTATATACGCGCTTAAAGGAATGGAGTATATTTTGTAGTATATTTGTTGTTTTTCCTTTTTGCCGGGGCCTGCTCAAAATAATGTCAACTGGTTTGATGTGTAATAGCAAACGACGACAAAAAATTTTGACAAAAACATTTGATGAGTAATATGCGTTTAAGTGAAATATGCAATGACCAAAGAGGACAACAATTTTCCATTATTATCCTAATTGAAGATGAAAAGAAAAAGGAAGATAAAGAAAAATGAATCTCAAAATGAATCTCAAAAAGATGGTTCTTAAAATTTGAATTTTGTTCTGATGCTTTCGTTCACTGTTATATATTAATATGATGATCGGTATTTAAATATAATGTTTAATTTTCTGATGATGACTTTAGACTAAAATCGAAATATCGATGAAATAAAAATTATTGTATAATAAATCGTAATTTTTTTTTTTAATTTTTATTTTTAGCAATAAAAAATTTGACCAACTAGCCTGCTAAATCATAGAAATGTAGATGATCCAAGACAAATATTTTTATATTCAACTTATTAAGAAATGGTTATTGTTGTTTGAATGCAAAGTTTACAGTATTTTAATAGCATTAAATACCTATGTATCAGAGAGCTGATCTACAGCCAGATTTTTTTTTTCTTTCCTTTTATTAATACAACTAGTAAATATACTTAAGACTAACAAGCACTTTTAGTTTAATTAATTATAAATATTTACACTAAGGTTTTATTACTTAATGAGGTCAGAGGGTTTTATACGTTTTAATCTCCGTGCTGAGTCAGTTGTGTTGACTAATTATAAAACAATATACATTTTTATGACGTCCTTGACGGGTTTGATTGCTAGGTCCCGATGTAGGTCTGCACTACGAATGTACCAGGGCGAATATACAATATTTCTAAGTACTTTGTTTTGGAAACGCTGTATTATCATAACATTGCCCTTACTGGTGCATCCCCATAACTGTATACCGTAAGTCCATACAGGCTTTAAAATTTGATTGTAAATCAGGAGTTTATTTTGTGTCGATAACACTGACAATTGCATTTGTAATTTTCTCATAAGACATTGATGCCACACCTTGTCAAATGCTTGCAAAATATCAAGGAACACTGTCGAACACACTTCCTTTTTTTCCAAACAGTTTTCTATTGTACTACTAATTCGATGGACTTGTTCAATTGTTGAGTGGCTGGTTCTAAAGCCGAATTGATGATTTGAAATTAGGTTTTGTTTTTCTATAAGATTTGATAGTCGCTTTTTAAATGTTTTTTCAAAAACTTTCAACAAAATGGGTAGCAAGGATATGGGTCTATATGAAGAAACTTCATATGCAGCTACTCTCCAGAAGGAGGGTACGTATCTCAATTTGAAGCGTGTGTTCATAAGAAATGTCAGAACTTTGATGGCATTTTTTGGCAAATTCTTTAGAATCTCAACTGTCAAGAGGTCAAATCCAGCAATTTTTTTGGATTTTAGAGACTTAATAATATCTTTTATTTCCTGAGCAGAAGCTGGAGGTATGCTTAATTCGCTGTCTAGTTTTAAATTATCCGTAATATTCTCTTCAGCATTTTCTATTGTAAAAGTACTTTTAAGATATTCCGAAAAGACTTCTACTTTCTGCTGATTGCTTTTTGCCCAATTATTTTCAAAGTTTTAATGGCGAGAAGTGTTACTGGTCGTCTGAGGTTTTTTGTTGCCTTCCAGAGTGAGTAGTGTGAATTCTTTTCGCACGATAAATTGCCTAGAAATGTTTTGAAGGAGACGTTTTTCAAATCTCTTACTCTTTAAGTCAACCTTTTACAGGCTCTATTGAGCAGAGACCTATCTCCAGGAGATCTGGTCATTTGCCACTTTCGTTTTAGTTTCGTTTTTCGATAACTAATTGGTTGATTTCATTGGGATAGTTGCAGCCAGCAGTAACCTGCTTTTTAACGGGAGTACTATTCTAACAAGCTTTATGTATATTTTCTGTAAATTTTTCTATATCGCTTTCTAGTTGGTGTTCATCTTCTATGGCGATAACATGATTTATCATTAATTGATTCGCAAGTTCTTTAAAAAGCTTCCAATCTGTGAATTTATTAGCCAGAATATACGGATTTTCTTTTTTTTCTATAGAACTGCAAATATTTAAAAAGATTGGGGAATGATCTGATTTCAGATCAGCTCCATCCTTAATTTCCATAAATCTTTTAGAAACTTTTCTTGAAATTAAATAGTCAATAAGATCAGGTATCTTACTTTGATCTGTGGGCCAATAAGTAGATTGTTGAATAGTTTTTAGAAGTTCCGAACCCTTAGGCGTAATAAGTCTCGAACCCCAGAAAGTATTTTTAGCATTAAAGTCGCCACCAGTAATAAATTTATCTCCAAGAGCCTTTAACATATCAATGTATTTTTCTTTGCCTATATTATAATACGGAGGGATATATAAAGCCGCTATCATAAAAGGCTGGTGATCAGCTTCGATTTCAACTGAAACTATCTGGAATTCAGGAGCTGTTAACAGCCAGATAATTATACCAGCACTACTTTATGTGTATGTCGCGTATAGCAAAGCTGTCAACTCTACTATCCAGAAGCCACAAGTTGCCTAAAAGTCAGACTCTCCGAAGACTCTTTAAAGTGCCATGGTACATCCGCACGAATGACATGCTAAGAGACCTTTAAATAGATCCGGTCAAAAAATATATATAAGGGGCAGAGCCCTGAGGTTACATGCGAAAACCGACAGGCTGCCCTACTTAACATAGCACTATCTAATCTCAGAGTAATCACTAACCATACGAGGGGGCACGCAGATCTTAGATCAGTCATTGAATAATCACGAATCTTACGAAGAATACACAAATTAGTCAGTGAGATGGATGGAACTCCGCAGAAACCTTCAAGCTATCAAAGAGTAAAGTGCCCAGATGATCTAAATCGAAAAAGGCTCAATATAATAATATTAAAGTAGTGTAAAACAGTCCAATTGTTTTTTAAGAAAGGAAAAGAAACGTTTTAATAATTACTGATTTAATGAGTTACATTTTCTTAAAAATATTACGAGATTATTTAACATTATTGCTAAATAATTTTACAATAATATCATTAAATACCATTTTGATGCGAAATTAATAACAAAGACCGAAGCTACTACAATTCTTTTTTTTATACGGCAGCCCTTAGATGATAAATTGTACTATACTGATACGGTACTGTACCGTACATTGTACAGATTTTTAAATTTAGTGCTGAAAAATTGAAATTTAGTCCTGTGCAAGGGTGTACGCGCATTCGCTCTACTCAACACTCGAATAATTGACAATGTTTCATTTATATGCATTCTGACTCTCTCTTTCGTGTACTTGACTCTACCAGATTCACACATACAGCTGACAGGACTTATAACGATATATACTCCGCTCATATGAGACTCATAAACATCGACATTCGACACAAAAAAAGAAGTACAATGGCGGTGCTCTAAGAGACGTATACGAGTATAAGATTGTAACAGATGACGAATCATGGATATATGCATATGAGCCGGAACATAAACAGCACTCGACTGTGTGGCTATATGGGTGTTTCAAGATGAACCAAATCGATGTTTGCGCTCGAAGCACTTCGAAACAAATGGTCGCTTGTTTTTTGGGAAAACTGGTCATGTGGCAACTATAACGATACCATCACAATGGTGCACAATCCTTTATTTTCCAGAAGTCTTCAGTGAAATGCGGAAACAAACAAGTGCCATCGAATCATTCTGGATCTCCATCAAGACAATGCGCGTGCTCACACATCTCGCCTAAAAACCAACTATTTGAACATTCAAAAAATCGAATTGATGGTTCATCCGCCATACACTCGTGATTTGGCAATGACTTATTCCTTATCCTGAACTTCAAGAATAAGTTGCGTGGACAACG